CCTAGACGCACAGACGCACAGACACGAAGACACACAGACACATAGACGTGCAGACGCGCAGACACGCAGACACAAGGACGCACAGACGCACAGACACGAAGACACACAGACACATAGACGTGCAGACGCGCAGACACGCAAACACACGGACGCACAGACGCGCAGACACGCAGACACGCAAGCAAGCCACGCAGACGTGCAGACACGGAGACACACAGACGCACATACACACAGACGCACAGCAGACACACAGATTCACAGACGCGCAGACGTGCAGACACGCAGAAACGGAGACACACAGACACAAAGAAACGCAGACACACAGACACAGAGACACGCAGACACCGAGACACCGAGACACAGAGACACAGAGACACACAGACACACAGACACAGACGCACACACACGCGCAAGCGCACGCACGCACATACGTACGTACACACGTGCGTACACACGGACGTACGTACAAACAGACAGACCTACAAACTTCCGGCAAAGATGTCAACCCTGCTCGAGAAGACTTATTTGTTTTCGGCCATTCGCGTGTAAGCTACAGCTTCAATCTGGGCAGATGCCAGTTAGAGTCCTTCACCAGATGACCGCCAGTTGTTTTGCGTGTGTTGACGCTGAACGCAGGTTGCTAGCACAAAAGTCCACCCAACCGCTAGGCATCACCATGAAGGTGTTTGAAAGCCAGCCCGCAAGTCAACAGTGGGAACAGATCCCTGTCAATGCGGTCTAGAAGACTTGCTGTATGTTTTCTCCGGGCGGACATGCTGAGCTTCAAGGGCCCTCAGCTGTTTGTTAATCCAGTTGTTCAAGCGGATACAGGTTGGATCATGCACCCGCGCCGTTGGAATTGCGCTTCCCCGAAGGTCTCAGGCTTGGTCGGAAGGCTGGAGGCGTGAAGTGAGTGAGCGCCCTTTGCAAGAACAAGAGTTGTGGACCTGCAATGCCCCTTTGACACTCTCCATCAAACAAGTTCGCGATTCTGGAAGTTGGTGCCGTGTGCTTTTGCGCCATGCAGGTCAGAGAGGGAGAGCTGGGACGGCTGGAGTGCCTCAAGGCCATCCCAAGTTTGCAGTGACTCTGGTGTCGAGAGGCGTGAACAGTGGAACAGCCAGATTGAGGGCTCACGAAAGGTTGAGGAGCCTTGGATGAGGGAATCTTGGCGAAAGGGTGAGGATCCTTGCGAGCTTCCTTGGCAAAAGGGCGATGATCCGCGGCGAAAGGACGATTGGTGGCAAAAGGGCGAGGGCCCTTGGCAAAGCACTGAGGACACTTGGCGAAAGGGCAAGGGCCCTTGGCAAAGCAGTGAGGACACTTGGGGAAAGGGCGAGGATCCTTGGCAAAGCAGTGAGGACACTTGGGGAAAGGGCGAGGATCCTTGGCGAAGGGACGAGGATCCTTGGCGAAGGAGTGAGGAGCCTTGGCGAAAGGGCGAGGAGCCTTGGCAAAGAGGCGAGGAGGTTTGGCGAAGGGGGGAGGACAGATGGCGAAAGGGCGCGGACAGGGAAGACAGATGGCGAAGCAGTGAGCACCTTTGGCGAAAGCGTGAGGAGACTTGGCAGCAATGGAGTGCGCAATGGCCATTGAAGCACAGCACCTAGCAAAGCACATGATCCGCCCTTATGCTTGTTGTGCTTGCGTAAATTGTAGCTTCACGACGCCATTCCGGCATTGTGGTTTGAACATTTGGCTGTGGGTCAAGAATATGTACCCAACATGGAACCCTGGTAAATGGAACCATGGACTGAAATCTGCGGTCCCCTGGTGGTTTAGTTTTGACCCATACCCATTTCATGTCACTTGTTGCCAGTAGGTGTAGCGTTGAGAGGATGGAAGCTGTCGCTGAGGATGGCAGCTGGCACGACTGGCGTAAGGACAAGCAATGGACTGGCAGGGATGACTGGCCACCAGCAAAGCGAGGCGTGACAGGTTCATGTTTGCCATCGAACATCGCTCTATGGGAGTTGTTCTAAAGGTCCTTGTAATGAGTTTAGTATTCGGCGACCGTTGGTGTTGGTTGAGATACCTCCGCGAAAGATTCGCGATGGAGTTGCGAAAGTCTTTCTTCGTTTCGTGAAAGATGTGCGTAACTGTCTGTATTGACAAGATGGGACTGTCTGGTTCTATCATTGAACAATGTGCGGCGAGGAATCCGCGAAAGATTTACGAAACTAATCCTCGTTTTCGCGAAGAATGAGACATGAATTTGGAACAATCACCTATATGCAAGCAGGCGCTAGGCCCGTAGGCTTGCCAGGCATCGGCCAAAAAGGCCCATCCAGTGTTGTTATGGGGGCTTGGAGAAATCAAGCAGAAGCCTGACGTTCAAGTATCGCCATGCCGGCAGTGTAGGTCCTCATACAATTCGGAGCTTCGTATCCAATTTTGACCCCGCCCTCATTCATTGTAGTCAGGGGAACAACAGCGGGTACACAGCAACTCACCAATCGAACATGGGAGCTCACCGGAATCCCACGTCATGTCTTCAGTGGGATACAAATACTGACCGTGGCTCATATCCCTCCTTTGCTATCGTCGCTTTCTTGTGGGGCCAAAGCCTCTCTCTCTCTCTCTCTTACGTTTGCCAGCCAGTTCAGATGCCGTTGCACTTCGGGCTTTGACCATCGTGGGCATGACTTCGCTTTGTCACCTGCCTGTGAGACCTGGGGTTTCGCAGTGGGAAGTTCCATGTCTCCCGACCGAAGCCAGACCGCCTGACAGGCACTTCCATCGTGCCGGCGGTCGAGGCGAGGAAAGGTCCACACTTGAGACACAATTGAAGGTTAGTAAGGGATACTCCCAGCCAGAAATAGTTGCGGCCGTCTTGTGATTTCGTTATATGGATTTCGGTAGACCGGTAGACCATTTTAAATACCAGGTTTGGATTTTGACTCACTTGGACATCTTGTTGTTGGTGTGCGATCGTCCGAGCGTCGCATGTTTAGGAGCAGGCCTGTTGGCAGGTCCATGAGGCTTGTCGGCTGAGAAAGCAGCGCGAGGCGCAGCTGCCTCCTGGGCCTGCTAAGCTGAAGATGGACACTGCTTCCACAGGAGAAGTTGGAGTAATGGCTGTCGTGAGGTGGGTGCGGGTCAAAAATAGGTACCCAGAATGGAACCCTGGTAAATAAAAACAAAATACCAAAACCTGCAGTCCCCTGGTGATTTAATTTTGACCCACTCCCAGATTAACGCCAGGTTGCACTTTCTGTTGTGAGGGCTGGCCGGTCATTCTTGCCGCACGCAACAGGCATTTCACAAAGCTTTCGTTTGCCGCTTGAGTACTGCGATCAACAGCTTGGACCAAACTTGCATCATTCCAGCTGGCTTGCAAGTGGAGCGCGATGTTCAGAGAAAAAAACAAATGCAAGCGCTTTCTATTCTGGCCTTTGTTGTCTTTTCCGTGAATTGTCCCACTTCTCTAAATCTGGTGGGCCAGAGCGTGGCGCCGGAGACCTGCTTGCATTCTTGTGCCTGGCAGTGCGGGTTGCGTGGGTTCCACAATGACTCGGGTAGTGCGCTCCAGGAAGCGAGGAGAAGACGGATCGTGCGAAAATGATTCCCAGCTGCATTTCCGACGGTGTACTAGAGGTATGTGTTGGTGTGCACATTTGTGTGAGTGAGAGGAGTGTACGTGTTCGCCTTGGTCGCTCTATTGTCGATGTGTATCGCAAATCAAGCACAACCACTGTTCAGTTCCAGAGGAGCATGCTACCTATTGCTCTTCAGGGAGGTGAAGCTCGACTTGGCTAGTTTGGCACGAGGTGTTCACCGCATCGTAGTCAGTACTTGGGTTGACTGGGACGTTCAGATTCAGATGTGGTGGACTAGACACAAGTGCGGCAAGGCTGCAGGACAGGTGGACTGGACAACCCGCATCTTCCGGCTCCGGCAGTGCGTCCAGAGGGCTGGGGATGTGGCAAATGCGGGACCTCAGGAATGAGCTTCTGATGAAGTATTCGGGCACGCTTGAAAAGGGTGATGTGGAGTTCATCACCAAGAGCGTGCGCCTTGGCAGCAAACGGAGTGCAAGAAGTGGCGTGGATGGGACACGTTTGGCACGCGGCCATTTCTTTCGCTAGCACATGGCATTACGCCAGCGAGCGGATGTTTTCTTCACGGCGGTTTGAACATTTCGGGTTAAACACTGCTCGCATCAAGCTGCGCAAGCCACTGTCTATCGGACTAAATGACGCTCAGAGGGATGTCTTCTTTGGTGGTGCTGGTTTCAGATTGCTATAGGTGACTTACGGATGTTTGGGTTGGTTTAGGGATGTGTTCGGGGTTGGCGTAGGGTGGGTCAATAGAGTGGAGGGTTGCTTAGAGTTGCCGTAGAGTTGGTTCATTCTTTGACATCACTTTGATTTCGGGGGGATTAGGGTTGGTTCAATTGAGCCTTATTGATATGAGGTTTGCTTTTGGGTTGAAGGGTGTGAGATGTTCAGGGCGATTGGAGCGAAACGGTTGGGAGCGCCGAACGTTTGGTCGCCGTTCGCCAAGTCGCAGCCAGTCCGCGTCGGCTGAAGCATACACTTGAGTCGGCTGAGTCTCCTCTTTCCGTCCGTCGAAAAGCACACAGCCATTTGACGAATGTTCCTCAGCTCCTGAAATGTCTCGTGGTGGTTGCCGATTGCGTAGGCCGAGCTTCACGTTAACCGTGAACGTTTCCTTGAGGGAGCTTTCCAAAGAGCCATCGGGTTGGAATTCTGCTTGCTCGCTACAAGGTTCCGGCGTGTTCGAGAACGAACCTCTGTCCTTAGCCGATTTATGTGAGGGCTCCTCAAACTGTAAACTGGGTCTGTTTTCGCGGCTGCACCTTTCTCAGGAAGCCCCATACGTGTTCTTTCACCATTCCTTTCGGGTCACGGTGAAATGCCAAGGACCCCCGGCTTTTTCCAGTCTACCGTGACTCTGAACTGCCTGGGCGAGGGCTGGACCTTCACTGGAGAGGCCAAAACCAGCAAGCAGGACACTTTGCGTGTCGGATGCTGCATGTTTGATTTGGCTTGTTTCGGTGAGTTGAAGAAGCTCGGGAGACCCCTGAATGGACAACTCCTTCGAAAGTGGGAGGCGCTGCCGTGCTGAGTTCACTTCTCCCGCCGGAGTCATGGTGATGGGTCAATCAAATCGTGAGTCACCATGATCAGAAAAGACTGATCCGAATCCAACAGAAGCCCTTCTACAGCAATTACTTCCTGTAGACCCCCCAAAAAAACTGCGGGGCCCTTCAATTTGCCGGCTTAGGCGTCCGACCATGTTTTTCTGGCGGGGCATCTTCTCAAGGAGGCGGAACACTCTGCGAGCGCACAAACCTTGCCGCGCTTGCAGAGCTTGTTGGATGGCGCTCGCCCCGGAGAGATGGGGAAAGGCTACAAGCGATGCTTCGGGCGACCTGGGGGGCATGCATGAGTTCCAGAAGTTTCCTATGGCAGAAGGAATCCTATCCAGCTCAGTCAGTTTGTCGGGAAAACTTAGGAAAGGCCGAATGTTGGGACCACAAGAGACAGAGAGAGAGAGAGAGAGAGAGAGAGTGAGCGGGCGAGCGAGCGAGCGAGTGAGTGAGTGAGTGGGCGGGCGGGTGGGCGGGTGAGTGAGTGAATGAGTGAGTGTGTGTGTGTGTGGCTTGCACCAAGAGGAGGCGGAAGTTGGCAGACCGCGTGCGACTGATTGGAGACCTACGTGGGTGTGGCAGGAGAAGGTTCCCAGATGAAGAAGACCGCTCAATGTCGAGGTGAGGTGATAGATTCTGTTCAGAGCAAACCAACCTCGCCGTGCATTCTTTCGTTCGTTCGTTCTTTCTTTCTTTCTTTTTTTCTTTCGTTCCAGGGCTTCTGGGTCGATCCCGCGCCTGGTGGCTGTGGATTCACTCAATTGTCGCACTTGCTCCGAGATATGCCGAGGCAATGCCCCGAAGCCGCTGCTGGCGCTGGCAGATGCGCCAAGTGCCCCGGTGGCGATCCCAAACCCCAAGGCCGTGAAGGGACCTGGACTAGACGCGTCGCTAGTTGAGTCCATCGGCGGCAGGAAGTGAGGCTTGAAGCTCGAACGTCGGTCAAACCCAGTGGCATCCTTAGAAGACTCTGCTCTGGTTTTTTTGCGGCACAAGTCTCATCAATCAAGTTGAATAGCTTTGTTCGGTCAGACACGGGACAATTGTGGCCTCCATTTCCTGCGTTGACATTGGGTTGGTCTGGTTCCGTCGGGAACGGGGAGGCAAGAGGGAGACCAAAGCCAAGCGGTATCCCGACATGGCTTGTCCATGCTTATATTGGACGGTCGTGAACCGTGGTGCCAGGGCACGCTGCAGGAGATGGTGATGTCGCCTGGAAAGGTATTTAGAGTGGATGCCAAAAAAGCTCTTTGCTTTGCACAGTGACCGGAGAAAAGGCCACTTTAGACTTAAAGCCCCCTGAACAGTTGACTTGCTTGTACCATTCGTTTGATATGGGCTTTGTGCGTGAGAGCTGATACTTTTTGCCTTTTTGCTCTCAAAGGGATGCGCGGCGAGCTGATCAATGCATTCCGAGCAATTGCTTGATCCGATGCGACGGTTGCATTCTATGGACCGTAAACCCACGGTTGCTTTCTTTTGTTTTTGTTTTGTAGCGCACGTGTGCACAGGGTGTTTCTGGGCCACCCCGTTTGGCTTTGGATGAATCTCAGGAGAAAGACTCGACGGCAGGAGAAGGAGGACAATGGGAATCAAGAGTTGCTGGCAGGGTCTCTTAGGGGTTGGACTGGTTTGACAGTCTCGTCGCAATCTCTTCGATGAGATCCTGACTCCTGGACCGAAAAAGGGTCCAATCTTGCATGAGCGCATGCTTTCGCGCAGCAAACTTCCAAAATGAGCCAAATGAGCAGCCATCGTCGATCGTTACGACTATTTTGGTTTGGCAGTTTTGGTTTAAAGTTCAAAGATGTACATCTCTCGAGATGCAAGGGTGTCCCTGTTCCAGGCCCGGAATGTAACAGACGTAGCAATGCAACTATTATGGCATTCAATCGACAGACACGGTCCTCTGCAAAGCCACTGTTATGAACCCCAAATGGTTGAACATTGATCGCGACTGTGCACTGGGGTGTGATTGAGCCTCATTCTGCGCTGACTGAGAAACAGTTGTAAGGCCAGCTGCAAGACGACATGAAATGCAGCAGCGTGCCGCTTCTACATCTTTGTTTGGGGCCCTCAAACCTGTTGTAGGCCTTTGGCTGAGTACCCAAATAATCTACTTAAATGAAACAGCAGTTTCATGTGCTCTTTGTGACAATTGTGCTTCGCATCGGACAGTTTTCGCGCTTTTCAAGATGGAAGATTGGCCAGGACTTTCACTACGACGTGGTTTCAGTAGACGAGAAGTTCGTGGTGAAGCTGCACTTGGGTGCCCATGTGGTTGGAGGCCAGTGCCGGGGTCGTCCTCCTGCCTGAGATGAGACTGAACTTGGGGTGACTCTGCAAGTTCATTTGGATATGGATCAAAATTAATCCACCAGGGGACCGCAGGTTTTAGTCCATGTTTCCACTTACCAGGGTTCCATTTTGGGTGCCTAGTTTTGACCCACAGCCATTTGGAACCCTGATAAGCTCCCCCAGGATAAGCTCCCCCAGCGTTCGCATAACGCAAAGTGGGCTCCCTAGCATATGAGCCACGGACAAAACATGTGTAGACCACTTTATCAAGGCGGGGTACGTTTTTGCATAACACATGCCAAAACCATGGAAAATGATATGGTCTCCCCCAAAAACGATAACCCTTATTTCAAATGAAGTGCGATCAGAGTGATCGCACATGCACAGACGAAGAGATATCAACAATTGCAACTCAGCCATTGCTTCATTCTGAGCGCAGCGATTTGGAGCCGCTTGGCTTTAGGGAAGCTGCCCAGACGACTCTGCAATGCCGTTCACAATATGTTCCTTCAAGGCCCCTTTAGCTTTGGACAACACAATGCGGAATGGCTTTCTGGTGACACGCACGCATGCACCGAAGGATACAATAGTCTTTCTTCAGTCACGCCACATGAGATTCATTCTGCCGGCCCACCTGTACGGCGGCAGACTTTGGTTGCGCCCTGAAGTGACAGATTTCTCGTGTGGATTACACTCGGAGCATCTCTCATTTGCCCAATGCCCTTTGGTAGATTGCAGGAACAGACTCATTCTTACACTCTTGCAAATGAGGATGCGGGGAATTGGCATTGCCAGTCAATGTTTCGCAGTTAGTGAGTCTCTTCAGACTCGCGCAGGAGCTGCAGCGCTTTGCTTTCAGAGTTCGCCCTTCGGCGTGAAGACCAAAAAGGCCGTGAAGGACGGGTCGAGTTTGGCCGCTATCGCCTCATTCAAGGTCCAAGACCTATCAGGAAGCCCAAGCGACCAGACCCGTTTTGTGGCAGCCGAAGTTATTCTCTTTGCCGCCAGCCGCAAGTTGGCCGCGATTTGGCCGATCAGACCGACCCCCCTCCAAAATGTTTGGGGAACGTCGCCACGGTGATTTCTCCCACCAAGAACAAGCAACGTCCATGTTTATTTTTGCATGCTTGGAGATGATCAAAAGGACGCGGAAGAGGAGGTGGCCACCAAAGCTCTGCAGCATATGCAGGCAGGGTGTGGTAGTCTGTGGGGTCTTGTCGAAGGATTTTTTGGATTCTGGTGGAACAACATTGCGAGTGTCCATGCTTCCTGTTTGCTTTGTGGTTGTGTCTGCATTGGGGTTCCTTACCATGGCATCCTTGCAATCAGCGCCCCACAGCTTTTGCAAACCTGCGCAGACACGCTTGAGACTAAGCCAATATACACTTCCACGCAACCATGGCACTCGCTGAGGCACAGTCAGCGTCCAAAGCGTTGCCACCACCCACACCAGCAACACTGCCGCCTCCTGCAGCACCTGAACCCGCTTCTGCGGCACCAGTGGCGGCAGAGGGGGCACCTGCTGCTCTTTTGGACAGGCGAGGGGACATGAGAGTATCAATTTGGTTTCGGCTTCTGATTTCCTCATCCGTATCAAATTTTAGATAGCGCGCCAAATGAAGCGGAAGGGTGAAATCATCACAAACACGGCATTGGGCAAATGGGCGTTCTCAAGAACACACTGAACAACCAAAAAGCCCGAGACCCAGAATCGAGTCTCGATTCGCGGATCTCAAGCCTTGATTCTCGCCAATCACAAGCCCTTTGAACAACATGCCCTTGAATAAGCTGGGTGGCCCCTTTTTTTTTTTGATCGTTTCTAATGTTTCTCCTTGAACAAGTCAACGATATCGTAAGTGTTGCGACTCCCTTCATCGTCCGAGTAAACTAGTTTTGGACCGCTCTCACATTGTTGAGTGTCAGCATGATTCCAGCACTGACGTCGGCAGGTTGTTTTGACACTACCGCGGCTTTACAAAAGAATGCGCCAGCAAGTAATGATCCCACTCTATGTTTTGATGGGGGAGACCAGTCACCCCAAAAAAGGGGGCAACACACCCAAAGGAAACAAGTGCCAATCGATAAGAACATTGAACCACCACCTTTCAGCAGACATGCCCTTGTTCTGCGTTCCATTGGACATTGATAGTCAGTTCCATCTTACAGGCAGCGTCGGCTCATGCACTCAAACACCTGAGCCGTGCGGAGAAACGGTTAGGCGCACGACAAGGTGACTGTGATGATTTGTGATATTGTGATGTTGTGTTTTTGTTTGTCATGTTTGACTTGCAAACCTGTGCGCAACCAAAGCTGCACCTGACCTTGCAAAAGTGATGCGCCTCTCCCGAAATCTGTCCTAGCCTTCCGAAAGCGCTGCGCCTGTCACGAAATCTGTACCTCACCTCGTGAAAGTGCCGCGCCACGCCACGCCATGCCGCGCCTGCCGCGCAATCTCTACCTGTACCTCAGATTGCCGGAGTGCTGCGCCTGTCACGCAAGCTGATGTCGCGAAAAGTGCCCGCGTCTGTGCCAATGGGCCTGCATCCGAGACTGCTCCAACCTGTTGCGCACTCGCCCTTCCCTTGCTTCGAGAACGCCCGCACCTGTTTCGACCGAGGTAGCTTTAGCCACCCGTACAAGCCAAAAACTGCCGAGTATTGTTCTTTCGTGCGATTTCTATTCCGTGCCACACGCCCACGCATGTTTCCTCGCATGCGTTCATTTTTCTTCCTGGGACACCATGTTTTGTGGTCATACGGCCTTTGACCGACAAAAACAGTCGAGTCATATATGTCTTGTTTACTTCATATTTGAACAGGGTCGTATACGCGAAGGTCTCTCTTATTTCACGGATCCCTTTCTTGATTTCGGAAATATCATCCAGCCATTCTATGTCACCGCCCCTTTCTTCAGATCGAACTTCTCGGGTTCTCGGGTCCCATTGCCAAGTGCGCTCCCGGCGATCAAGACCGCAGAAAACAATTTAGAACACGGGACAGGACTGAGATGTTTGGGAAGGTCAGAATGTATATCTGCGAATTTTAGTATTTGAGTTTCCCTGATGCAGGCAGTGGAAATTCACCACTGGCATTCGAGGGTCCTATGTCATTTCCAATCCTTGGGTTTTGGTGCTGAAGGAGCAGCCCTATAGGAAGGAAGTAATGACGCGTGGCACAACTTCAAGTTTTCAAGCAGCAGGGAGAGTTGGCCTGGATGTTTGTACCAATGATTATTTGCAGGAATAAGTAAAACAGCCGCTAAGTGGGAGATGTAGCAGCCCTTGATGTGCAAGTTTTGAGATGGGCCAAGTCCAGCAGCAGAGAGTTACGGCAACTAAGCATGATGCGAAGGTTCCTTCTGTTCATTCGCGGATTGTCAAGCCACTCTTTTGTCTTGCATGCCAGTCGAAGCGCTCCCAAGTGTTGCGCGCACCGGCCTCCGTGTTGCGCAGCTTGCCCTGAGGTCGGAGTGCGGCGACCCTGAGGTGGGGAGCGGATTGATCACGGCCACAAAGATTGCAAACAAGCTAGCTGATGCATTGCCCGAGCCTGTTTTGAAATCTGTACACTGAATCTTTCTTTGGGCCCTCATGCATGATCAAAGACGGTATTTTGTAGGACTAGTTGTGTACGCCAAGCCCTTTCCGCAGGACGGTTTCCACTGCTCGAGGACTCACAAACCAGCTCCAAGCCAAACATAAAGTATACAACCACAATATTGCATCAAATCGAAGTTTCATCAAATCGAAGCTTCAAATCACGCCCTCCTGAAGTTTCATCAAATCATATCAAATCGAAGTTTCATTTGCTGCTACATGGTACGCAGGCGGAGGCCATGCCGGAGACTGTCAAGGTGGGATCCGGACTTCAGACCCCAGTTGTGAACAGAGGAGACGAAGAAAGTTGCCGTAAACCGAACACCCCCCACTGTTTCTATCTGAAGTAATCTATTTGCTTCAGCAATGGGGTCACCTTTTGGCACCATGGGAAGGCAGCCATGAGAGTCAGACGCCCTTTTACAGGAGTCCTTGAGCTGAACTTTTGAGCGCAGCCTGTTGAAACCGGCAAGACCGTCTGCTTTGGCATTCCCAGCAAGCGTCTTTAATTGTGATGGTGACTGAATTCGTGATGATTAGTGATCATGCTGCTATTCATGCTTGCTTTCTGTGATTGAAAGGGGGGGCCAAGTGATGATCCCATTTGTGTGGGAAATGCAATTCCAACTCTAATGGCACTTGGAAGAGTTGTATATACTGCACATGTTTATTAGAGCTCGAATTGGACGTGGAGCTCGTCTTTTTTCGTCCTCCACATCCCTGCGCATCCAGGCTTGCAGCAACTTAGCTGGGCTGTCGATGCGCTGAATGAGTTATTTTCGCTGCAGCTCATACTGGTGCCTAAGAAACAATGTAGCGAACCCGATGGCTGCACATATGTTCATTCGCATGTTCCTGCACTTTACCTTGCCAGGTGTGCTTGGTCAGACCAGACGGGAAGGACAGCAGCGCACGGCCACTGAACCTACTACTTGACCAATTGAATGTTGCAGTGGATTTCCGGCAAACGACCACTCTTAGTTGAGGGATGCCAGGTTGGTCTCCAAGCCCCCGCAAATCGCCGCGTGCGCACGAACTGCTGAGAGTGGCTTTGGCAATTAGAAAAAACAGATCCAGAGACCCTCGGTGGTGCTGGTTCGCGCAGGAAAAGTCCATGATTTTGCTCAAGAGCATGATGATCTCGGAGCTGATTGCGACGCGGTCTCAGCTGGCATGGATGCCGTGGGTGCTGTGGGTGCCGTGGGTTGTGGCAGTCAGATGCAATCATCCAGCCGAATATAGCTCTAGTTCGTTTGCATGACTAAGGCGATGCCTTGGTGTTTTAAGCGACGGATGCGTTTTTGTCCAAATCCAAACTCTGGAACAAAACACATTGTACAAAGAGCTATGCCAGTCAGCAGGCCATGCAGAAGCTCAGTTTGACACTTGGCATGAAGATCAATATCCAGCCTCGGCAGAAGGATCAAACACTGCGCAGGCAAGCCAGGTGCAAATTAAAAGATGAGTTTAATATGTCTTTAGAACTACACACTCAGCATATATTATACCAGCAGTCTCCAGCATGTGCTTGCGCGACGGATTAGACACATGTATCATCTAGGAAGTCCAGTGCAAAAACTGTCAGACAAAAGATCGATGTCCGGATGTGATGTTGGAGCTTATTTGCAGCGCTCGCGTCTCGTGTCAAATATTAATATCCCATTGACAATTTGTCCTGAGAACTCCTGTGAGCTACCCAAACTACAAATGCCTATCCTAACTTCATATAGCCCTTTGTACTCATATTAGATGTTCTTTTTTTGAGGGTACCCCTTTCAAAAGGTCCCCCCCCATTTTTGGGTTCCCCAAAAAGAAGACCCACCACACATAGTTTAAGTTTCGGGCGCTTTTGGTGAGTTCTTTTGCCCAGGAAGCACCGGCCCAGCTGCCTGTCGGAGGAGTTGGAGGTTGTGGGCCCCGGAGACATGGTACGGGCCCCAGAGGGGGCAGAGAGGCTTGGAGCTGCTGTGGGCGAGAAATCCAGGGAGCCCCAAATGCTGGTCGTTTTTTTCTTCTTTTTTTGAGGGTATTCATTGTGGGGCTTGGAAAAAAGTGCTCCACCCATTTTGCGAGTTATCCAATTTATGGACAAACCGACATGACATGAGGGGAGAGTGACGAGGCGAGGATGGCGAAGATGGGAAACAAAGGAATGTCATCAGTTCGAACCCCCTGCTGAGTTTCAGGTGTTGGTGGTTGGCAATGCGTAGGTGTAGCTCCAACAATTTGTTTCTTGTACTGTAAGTGAGCCTGTTTCAGGCTGGAGCCTTCAGCAAAGATCAGCCCCAGTTAAAGAAAGTTGGAGCAAGCAACAAATCAAGAACATGCTCAAGAAGGCACCCGGGCTTGACGTTCGGCCAAAGTTAGCACAGATCTAACGCGGGTGGGTTGACATGTTTGTTCTTTACGGGTGTTGCGAGATGAAGGGCGGGTGAGGTTCAGGGTGACAAGGAGTAAGTGAGGTACTGCCGCCAGATATCACGCTGGAAGACTGTACCATGGTCTTCGAGACGGATGAGGCAAGGGAAGTTTGGGCTTAGTCTTTATGACTATTTGGCTGGATCATAAAAAGTTAAAGTTTAGCAGAGGGGTCAACAGCAACCAAGTTCTCACTGGTTGATGTGATTGCATCAGACTCTAGTGGAGAAGTCAAGAGTCAACCGGCAGAATATCACCAGCTTGTGCGGAGCCATTTCAGGAGGTGCCCAAGTTCTTCTTCCGCAAGGCGGAGGATTGAGGCGGATTGCTTGCAGAGAGCACGGGATTTTAATAGCTGCAGCACAAGCAAACACCAAAAGTTGAAAGCAATCTTGACAATCTTTGAAGGACTCCACAGCACGTTTCTCGATCACCTCCCATGGCAAGGCAACTCGACACCTGATGGACCCTTCTTCCTCCAGATTCCCTCGGTCACTCCACCGCTCACTGACCTGACTGCAGGGCTCTGGTGGCCTGTGACGCTGTACAGAAGTCGCGCTCAACACCATAGACAGCAAGCTGAGTCAGCTGCACTCCAGCTTGTGCGCATTGGGGCGGGCTTGCTTGGGCGAGCACGCGGCTGTTGTCAAATGTGCAAAAAGCCTTGGCGCGCAGCCTCCCCTAGAGCTTAACGGGAATGCCGCGTTTCTGAGGCCTACCTGGGAACGAGCGGCACCTGCGCTCGGGACCCGAGATGTAGAGCGAGGTTTTGACCGCATTGCCCGAGAAGGTTCACCTTCCGCCAAATTTGTGGCGCCCAAAGGCTCTGGATTCGCTGGAACATCTAAGGCCGGCTGCTGGCAGAACGGCTGCCAGTTCCAGGCGGGGGACGAATTATTCCGAGGATTCGCTTGTTGGCAGGATCAATTTGGTTCTTGATGAGGGTGTTTTCCGTTGGAGACCCCTCTGAAATGTTGGGCCTACCATTGTTTCCTTTTAATGCATCGAATCGTCACGGTATTCATTAGTGCTTGTTGATAAGATTGCATTTGATGCTTCTCAATCCGGATCATCATCATTGATGAGTTTTGCACCTTTTTGACGTCTTATGGTTTGCAAGGGGTTCTCACACGCATTGACGATGCAATGGATCAGGCTTGGTGACAATATTTGGCCATCTTCCATGATCCTTGATGCCCCCGAACGCTTCTTGATGATCCTTGATGCTGTGCGGTAAACTGGGATTGCCCCTTGATTGTTGATGTGTCTTGATCATTGACAATGCTTAATGATCTTGGATGATGATTGAATCACTCTGGTTGACTCTTAGCAGCTGATGATGACCCTTGCGGAACCACAACGAACCATAATTAGGGTTTTGCTTGATTACACTTGCCGATTGCTTCTGCAGGCCAATTAGATTCATCGAGTTACATTTTGACTGTTGGAACAGGGCAGACCTTTGCATGCTTGGGTTCTGGTTGAAAGGATGGTGCTTCAGAGGGACGATGGCGCCCTCATTCACTTCGGAGCAAGCTGTAAGGATTGGGGTGTGCCTTTTTTGAGGGTACCCTTGTGGAGTTGGTTAAAAGGGAAACCAAATGGAAGCAACAAATTTTGGTGGCCCCATTTTTGAGACAAATCAATCCATGTACCGCGCGAAGCCTGATTCCGAACATATGCACTGTCAGGGTTGCTCCCTCCATACTTAGAAAGCAACAGAATTGGTTCGCGCAGGCGCTTGTATTGTGTATGTGTGTGCTTGAAAATGGTTGGCTGCTGTTTGGGTCCCTCCCTCTTTCCGTGTGTCACATCCCTTTGGGTGTTTCTCAACATGATAGAGAGCTGTTTCAATTGACGTATCCCGGCGGCTTGAGTCTGCAAACACTCGAAAGACAAATCAACATGAGCAGCCCTCGGAGGCTGTCTGTTCCAGCCAGGGCCACCCTCAGCGGATAGCACACCCCGAGAGGAGCCTGCGACCTGGAAGGTCCGGATAACGGATCAAAGGGGAGCCAAAAGGAAAGCCACCATTTTGGGCGTCCCCTAAAAAAAGACACACACATATTCTTGTATAGTCACAATTTTTGGGTCACCCCTTTTTGGTGCGCTGAAATGAGTGCTATGAAATTAGAGTCCTTTTGGATGGTGCTCTAAGAAACTGAAAGGAGATCACGCATCCTTTAGGCATCCCCTGTTTTTGGAATCCACTATTCCCTTCAGGTGCTAGATTCCAAGGACGGGGATCTTGTAAATAAAGGGAACGCCGTGTCGATATTGGTAGGCCGTCCAACTGTTGGTTGGATCTGATGATCGATGCAGCATTCATCTTTGTGGATGCTTGCAAATGGGTGTTTTCTTGTTGGTTTGCCTTCAAAGAAAGAAGGGTCCCATGGTTTTGGGATTCAGCGCGTCGCGCTGGGCACTAAATTCTATAGCTTGGCTGACAAGGTGGCTGCAGCATGGTACACGCATGCCGTTTCCAGCATGCCGATTCATACTGAAGAAGGTTGTCAATTGGATCTGACTGCGCTTCAGCCATTGCTGCTGCGCTGAGTTGGCATACGGGCATGACATTTAATTGCAACCGCTGCGAGCTGTCCACCTCGGCCAGGCTCGAAAGAACCAGAAGAGCAATACAGGCTTGAGCAAATGATGTCGGCTGGGCTGAGCAGTCAGCGCAAAGTGATTGCTAGGAACTTGAACTCGAGCGGCAGGGCAACAAGGTGGAAGCACCTGGCTGGCAGCGGAGTCTGAGCGCTGGACGCTTGGCGCTGGCGACCTGATGGCCTCAGAGCAAACGTTTGTAGCGGTCTGGCTGGCAACTGTCGCGAAGTGAAGCTGGTAGCCAGCAGCTCCCACACTCAGCGCCTCAGCCCAGACTCAGCGCTAGCGCGCTCCACACTCCACGCGGCCAGCTTACCAGCTCTGCGCCAACTATGCGCAAAGGCTACAATCACGCGTGCCTGGCCGTTGCTTGGGCTGTCTGCGGGCCGCTGGCCCTGACAGCCAAGCGACGCAAGAGCGTGAAACTGTGACGGGGCTAGGCGAAGGCTACAGGAACTAGGGGGTGGTTACGTGACATGGACCCTGGCGCAGGGAAGGGTTGGGGATTCGACTGGTTCCTGGCGCGAATTAGGGTTGTTAATGGATACGTGTAGGTGGGGGTTCGTGTCCACCAAGCACCTTGAAGTGGCTCCGTAAAACTTGCACCGTGGCTTGCAGAGCCCCGAGGTGTGCAGCAAAGTTGCTCCAGCAGCGCAAGGACTGTTGCCCTTGGGCCCCAACTTTTGGATGGCACGCTTTGCTTCCGGTGGCATGCCCAGAGATGCGCGTGTGCCACAATGAGGAGTTGTTGGGTTCAGTTCAGAAAGGGAACCATCATTGCGCCAACCATTCAACGCGTACACCTGGGAGTCAAAACAGACTGGCAGAGAGCAGTTCAAGGCCTGAATGCATGTCTTGAGACATGGACAAAACGAGAACCAGGTTGCAAACAATTTGTTGTTCTACAAAGTGTTCGACGCTGCAGGGTTGGGCGGACTTTCCAGATTGGGGGCTTGGCATGCGAGCTCTGTGGCATTTGTCGGGTCAAGCTTTGCCTCCCATGAAAAACATTTGGGCGGCAGTCCTGTTGAGTTTCCTGATCTGGGGCAGGCTGGCCTTTGGTCAACCCTGGGCCGCCTTCCTGCAAGATGACCCATGTACTCAGCCATCTGAGTGCTCGCTGCAGGCCTTGCAGATGAAGGCGTGGGCGACGCCCTTTGTGGCGCCATCCTGGCGTGCCACTGTCGCAGTGAGCATGAAACTGCATTCAGGGGACATTCGGACTACCTCTGTCAGATGGTGGTACGACGCCAAGGCTCACCGGTATCGCGCGGACCGCGAATTGCCGAACAGCACAGACCTCCAGCTGCCTTTGGGGGACCTGAACTACAACCGGATTTTTACGATGGGCCCGGTGTGTGTGGCAAAGTTGATGTTCGATTTGGAGGAACCCTTCGCCTGGCTTGCCTCCGCCACCAGAGGCGACAACTTTGTGGTGGCTGGCGTGGACTGCACCCTGTGGACCGGTACTGCAATGGGGAGTAACGTGATTTTCGACATTGCCCCTCTGTCGTCGGTGCCCAATGCCACCGTGTCTGTGTGCCTTGCAAAGGACGGGGTGCCCCGGGAGGTAATGCTCGTGACGCCCGGCGCAAGGGGCTTTGCCACCAAGTATGTTTTGTCCGACATCCATGTGGGGGAGTTGCCAGCTGAGGTCTTTGCACCAAGTGCTGCCTGCATATCCCGGATTGACGTCAGGTGTGCTGACAGCAGCATGCGTCAGATCGACCTGTATCGCATCCACGGTCCCAACGAGACCTTAGGCGTGGAGAACCGCAACTTCGGAGACGCGGCGGCATCTTTGCACTTCTTGTGCAATGACAAGGTAATCCTCCAAACAGACAAGCACGAGTCTTTCATCACCCACTGGTCCATTTTCGTGAACACCTCCTTCGGTTTGTACCGGAAGTGCTGGTACCGGAACGGTGCAAATGTTTGTGAAGGCAACACCACGGCGGTGGGCAGGCAACTTGCGCTGATGCCTCACACCAATCTGCCGGCGGGCAATTCCAATGGCCAGTGCGGCTCTGCCACAGGGGTGTGGTACTCAGTGCCGGAGGCCGGGCGCTGCCACGGTGACATCAGTTCTGGGTGCACTTGGGCTGACCCAGCGCGGCTTCGCACAGTGAGCGCCGCCTGCGTGGCAAGTGCCGTTTGTGGGACAAAGGGCCCAAAAATCGAGGCGTTTGAAATGCTTTTGAGCTCGAATCAATCGGGCTGCCCAGAGGTGGATTGAAATCTCGCGAAAACAAGTGAATGAGCTTGAAGTGGTCAAGCTTTTGCACATGGAATCTACTTCTCTGGCTTGTGATTTGCAATATCCACGGAGAGGTTGCTCACCCCTCACATGCATGCCTGTTGCCTCCTCAAAAAAGCAGCTGAAAATTCATCGTGAGTTCCTGTGGCTTGGAACAACCCTTCATCATGTTGTCTTTCCCAAACCATTATTGGATCATAAACGCAACTCATATTTGCATGACTGGCACAAAGTTGTGATTTCCCCCCGCATTTCTTGTCAAAACCACCCACAAAAAGGGCTGCATCTTTGTCAGTTTCTTCTTCCGAGTTGTGACTCCGCGATGAACATGGCGCCAGCATACAAATTCGATCGGAGAAGAAACTTGGAGTAGCCTCAAAACAACTGGGTGTGTTACAATAGGAGACCCCCCATTATATTTTTGTTGTTTTTTCTCCTTTTGGTGTCCCTTTGAAGCTAAAGGGGTAGCCTCAAACCTGGTATCCTTCTTGAACCTACAGATTTCAACTCTCACGCAAAGACAGACCGTATTACTGAGAGTGGGCTGATTCCATGCAACCCCATGATTGGCACGAAGATGGCTGATTTGGGTCCAAGCTCCGCAAAACCCCAAAACCCCTGGTGGTCGCCAGCCAAAAACTCCGACCACCCGTGCGAAGGACCAGGCCGCTCGCCTCGAAGAGCTTCTGCGAAAGGTGCGGCCCTCCAAGGGCGATGAGGCGAGACGTCGCATTGCTCGGCTTCTCGGATTTGGACCCCCCACGGGGGTTTTCGCTTTTTGGTGTCCCTGTAACCGCAAAGAGGGCTTTTAAAGGGACGCACCCAAATGAGGGCGGTCTCCACTCTGATAGCAAGGGAAAAAGGCATGTGGCTACGAAATTTCATAGGGAACTACAATGATATCCACCAAAGGGTCCCATTCAGTTTCACTCACATAGGTGAACCAAACCGGGGGGCCTTTGGTGGGTATCGATTTGGAGATTGATGCCCCCAAACCATGTCGGAGTGTTTCCCATTGAATTTATAGTTATTTGCCAAGCTTCATTTTGTCCCAGACGCGGAAAGTTGTTGGTTCAATAGGTTTGCGCCCTGAGCCATCTCTCATTGGCCATTTGTTTGCTAAAGCTTGAAGCCAAACGGAACGGCTTTTTTCCAGGAAGCCACATGGAGAGAGCGGGTGGCACGTGCCTTGGAGAGGCTCCGTTGATCAAAGCAGCGCAGCTCCGGTTGAAGAGGCGCTCGGGGCTGGGCGTGCCTCGCAGATTTCCACGTTGAGCCCAGGCGCATAGCACAAAACCCACGCATGTTGGAAAGTCTTCTCGGCTTCGGGTGTCGAGCCACGTAGTTGTGGCCGAGTCTTGCAGCGGCAAACTACAGCCATGACGCTTTCTGGCATTGCTATTCAAATCAACTTGTCACCTTTGGAGCATGTCTGCGTTATCCATCCTTCGGTTACTTTGATCAACACTCCCGTAATTTTATTGGGAGAGCCCATCTGGCTGTGGTCAGAAGCAGTGGTGCCATTTTGCTGCCCATTTTAGTCCATTTTAGTGGGGATTGGGATGTTCACTGGGGGTACGGGATTTGGACTCATGGCCATCTGTTTTCACACGGCAACTAGCACGCCATTGCACACCAGCCGCTAGCCAGGCTACACGAGCCGCTCCCGGCGGGGCGCTCAGCCGCCATTCGCGAGTTTTCTCTTTGAACAACGCGGTTTGTCCGTTTCCGCATCTGACCCGGCCGCGTCACCAAGCTGAATCAAGTTCCATCAGACCTTGCTGTTTGCCAATCTGTACCTCGAGCAAGTCTGGGAAGATGACATCCATGGGGTCCAGGTCAATTCAGGCTTCGGTGTGTTCAGTCCCCGGTTGGCGGCGATACAGTCGGCTGGTCTCCAGTCTGAGGAACCCGAGGAACCGCAGGATCGACCCGAAGAATCTGAGGCAGGGGCTCCGACTCTAGGCATCGAACTTGCGGGGTTGGTAGACCTTGAGAGTCAATCCATTTCGAACGCGTTGAAGGACATGTCTTGCTCTGTGCCTTTCTAGGCAATACCGACTCCGCCCTTGTACTTTATTCCACTAGTATGGAGTTTCTACTGTAGCATGGTGACCGCTTCTCCCCTACCTTTGGCATTTGCGTTCCAATTCTTTCTTTCAGTTGTGAAATTGTCAGCAGATTTCAGTGGCCTTTGGAGGGTAAAATGGCACATTGCCATGTTCCGAGGCCCTTTGAGGCCACTCACTTGGCGTCTTGCATGTAGTGGTGTTTTGGCGTGATGCCACCTCGCACGCGCCTTTGCCGCCGACCGCACCATTTGGTTAGATTTCCAATATTTTCCAATGATTTAGCAGCATGCAGTGGGCAGCTTGCCAATAAGATCTTGCCGACTGCACCTCCAGAAGGCTGCATGTATTGCGGACCGCACTGGCTAATGCCAGGTCGCTGGGCGACTCAAACATTTGCTGCAGGTAAATCTTCTTGAGGCTTACGTGTTCCAATATGACAGCATGCCATAGAGCAGGCAATCGACACGCAATAATGCTTGCATATTGAGATCGTTTCTGTTGAAGTGCAGCCTTAGCCGAGCAAGCTTGCCCTGGGCCGACCCGTTGGCAGGCCACTCGTGTGGAGGAGACAGCTTTGCCGCCTCTGCCGGCTCTGCAACAGGCGCAATGTTGCTTCGTCAAGAGCTAAGGGTTTGCTGCAAGAAGTGATGATCGCTTTCCGAGAGTCGAAATGCGCGCTGTTGCATGACGAAAGAAATCAATGAATCCATCAAATCGATCAGGCAGTAGCGACTGACTGGCTGAACTCCGCTGCTGGCTCATAACTTTCACGGGTTGGCAGGTCGCCGAGGAGACTCCGATGTGAGTGATGTGTTTTGCGGCACCCGCTTTGTACAGCATGCGATCAGGGGGCAAGCCGCAACTCCAGAGCCCATGGCACCGGAGATGCCGCTTGCTCGCCGGAATAGACTCGGATGGGAATAGAGTCGGTGGCGTTTCACCTGCCGTTGCAGTTGCCTCCGAAGAACGCGAAAAGAGGCCGCCTTGGCCTCTTGGCCTCTTGGGCTCCAATGCGACCGCTTCGGTGTGACATGGAGTTGCGGCGCAGGTGGACAACCCCAAGGAGGTGGTGCTCAATGCCCGGTCGAAGCCCAGGCCGGGGGATGGTAGGCAGTCTCTGAAGTGGTAATGACGGGGGGAGGTAGCTTCAAGTTGGATAAGACTCTCAAGTGATGAGGGGAACGTAACCTCAAGTTGAATTGGACTTCTGCAATGCAAACTTGCCATGGCGATGCAAAGGAACCCCATCCTTTGACCCAATCCCGCAGGGACTCCAAAGCGGACATCGAGTGAGCCCATTTTCTCGGAGCCGCGGGTTGTCGCTCGCCCGCGTGGGTCCGGCCACGAGTGACTGGCGGGGTTTCGCCGCCAGTCCGCCAGAGCAAAAGGCGGTACCATTCGGATTAGCTGAGGGGGGTACCCTTTTGGGTTGGCTTAAACGGGAACCAAAAGGAGAACCACACTTTTTGGAAGGCCCCTAAAACCAGACACGCCCGTATTGCTGTCCTAAGGTTGTCACACCAGTCCCCATGGCCAGAGATCCCCGCACCAGAACCTGGCTGATGAGCCAACAAGGAAACGGACAACCCAGACCACTCAATTTAGATTTAGACTTGTACTGTGTGCTCAAGATCTCCGAACAGATCCCTTGGTGGCCTGTTGCAGCAGTGACACTGCAATTTGAGCAGTTTGCCACCTATGTTGTGGTCCTGTCATGGGATGGGATGTATGACTCAGCAACCTCAAAATGTCTCATGGAGAATCTTTGCCGGGCATGCATTGAGCTTGCGGCTTTTCCAGCCATGCATGGCAGAGAATTATTGCGATCTATGCCGGCCAGAAGGCTTCCAAACGAGTCAATAACTCTCCCCAGCTGCGAACCATAGACCCGGCAGATACAAGAGCTACTTTCAAGCGTCAGGCATGCTTTCAAGTCTTATTGATAGCTTATTTGACTATCTTAAGCCAATTCTTGCCGAGTCGCAAGACTGAGCATAGAAGCGCACCGCGCAACGTACACCAGAGCACATCGAACGTCAGCCTCTCTCTCCCGCGTTCAGCCCTGGACGTTGTCGCTTTCCAACGCGGCCGCGTCGCCCGGGATGCTGCGACATGGCTTGGAGGGCAATCTACGAGGCGGGAGAAATGGCCCTACTCCAAAGCATTTGATGCCAAACAAAGCCCCCAGGCCGCCGCCCGCCCCCCCAAGCGCACACAAACACACGAACACACACACACACAAACACACAGACAAGCAATCAAACAAACAAACAATCAAACAAACAAAAAGAACAGGCAAGCAAGCAAAGCAAGCAAGCAAAGCCAAGCCGAGCCGAGCCGAGCCGAGCCGAGCAAGCAAGCAAGCACGCAGCAAGCAACTCCCATCAGGCAAGCCAAACCTCTTTGACATGTTTGCCATATTGACGACTTGGTTGGCCGTGTTTGCCTCAGCTCACTCTAGCGCTGTGACAATGAAAGCCCACACATGCATCACACATGGCTCACAATCTCTCACAGACGCAGGCCCTCACGCCAAGGCACAGACGCACACATTCAAGATGAAGTCTGAACTTCACGACGTGTATGAGCCTCACAATGACAATGACAACATGCATGGCACCACAAAAGCATGAGAAAACACCACACATGATTCCTATCATGCATGGGCCCCTGCATGCATGAATCCCAGCCCACACGGACACACACACAAACCCACACACACACACACACAGACCAGGGGACACAGACACACAGACACACAGACACACATACACACAGACACACACACACACACACACACACACACACACACACACACACACACACACACACACACACACACACACACACACACACACACACACACACACACACACACACACACACACACACACACACACACACACACACACACACACACACACACACACACACACACACACACACACACACACACACACACACACACACACACACACACACACACACACACACACACACACACACACACACACACACACACACACACACACACACACACACACACACACACACACACACACACACACACACACACACACACACACACACACACACACACACACACACACACACACACACACACACACACACACACACACACAACACACACACACACACAACACACACACACACACACACACACACACACACACACACACACACACACACACACACAGACACACACAGAACACAGAGAACAGAGACACAGACACAGACACAGACACAGACACAGACACAGACACAGACACAGACACAGACACAGACACAGACACAGACACAGACACAGACACAGACACAGACACAGACACAGACACAGACACAGACACAGACACAGACACAGACACAGACACAGACACAGACACAGACACAGACACAGACACAGACACAGACACAGACACAGACACAGACACAGACACAGACACAGACACAGACACAGACACAGACACAGACACAGACAAAGACACAGACACAGACACAGACACAGACACAGACACAGACACAGACACAGACACAGACACAGACACAGACACAGACACAGACACAGACACAGACACAGACACAGACACAGACACAGACACAGACACAGACACAGACACAGACACAGACACAGACACAGACACAGACACAGACACAGACACAGACACAGACACAGACACAGACACAGACACAGACACAGACACAGACACAGACACAGACACAGACACAGACACAGACACAGACACAGACACAGACACAGACACAGACACAGACACAGACACAGACACAGACACAGACACAGACACAGACACAGACACAGACACAGACACAGACACAGACACAGACAGACACAGACACAGACACAGACACAGACACAGACACAGACACAGACACAGACACAGACACAGACACAGACACAGACACAGACACAGACACAGACACAGACACAGACACAGACACAGACACAGACACAGACACAGACACAGACACAGACACAGACACAGACACAGACACAGACACAGACACAGACACAGACACAGACACAGACACAGACACAGACACAGACACAGACAGACACAGACACAGACACAGACACAGACACAGACACAGACACAGACACAGACACAGACACAGACACAGACACAGACACAGACACAGACACAGACACAGACCACAGACACAGACACAGACACAGACACAGACACAGACACAGACACACAGACACAGACACAGACACAGACAGACACAGACACAGACACAGACACAGACACAGACACAGACACAGACACAGACACAGACACAGACACAGACACAGACACAGACACAGACACAGACACAGACACAGACACACAAACACAGACACAGACACAGACACAGACACAGACACAGACACAGACACAGACACAGACACAGACACAGACACAGACACAGACCCAGACCCAGACACAGACACAGACACCGACACAGACACAGACACAGACACAGACACAGACACAGACACAGACACAGACACATACACAGACACAGACACAGACACAGAGACAGACACAGACACAGACACAGACACAGACACAGACACAGACACAGACACAGACACAGACACAGACACAGACGCAGAC